CTGTGACATCTCTTCTTCAGTTTTTCTCTTATTCTCTCAAGGTAAGTTTCTCTTCTCTTCCTCTTCTGCTTTTCTCTGGTTTACCTGCTTCCTCTCGACTCCTCTCCTCTTTTCTCGTCTTCTCTTTCTCTTATTCTTTTCTATTTTTTTCCAATTCTTCTTTTCTCTGTTCTGCTCTATTTTCTATGTTATGCTATTGCCCTGTTTTTTTTAAAACTGTTGTTCACTGGTTCTGCCCTGGTTTACCAGTTCTATTTTTTGTTGTTGATGATTTTAGTAAATTCTATCTTATTATTCAATGGCATCAAGCCAAAAAAAGATCTAGCTTGGGCGTATGGAGTTGCAATTAGCAGTAGCACAAAAGTCCAATGTTATTTTAAGAATTGAAATATTTGCTTAATATGTTATTTTTATTGAGTTCTTGGACATTTATCAATGCCTATTTAATATTTTTTATTTATGTATTAAATTGCGGTTCACATGAAAAAAGCGCGCGCTTCGCTTCACGCCTCTCGCTTTGGTGAAGCAAGGCCTCCTCGCTTTTCTCCGCTTCCCGCTCTCCAAAACACTGTGAACTAGCGTATATTATTTGTGGTATGCGACCTGACACAATGTTATACTAACACTCGTAGTTCTTAGTCATGAGGTGTAGTTTCATGCTCTGTTCAAATTTTCTGCTGGTCTACTATATATAAAAGATTGAACACGCTCTGATTCTGGTGTTAATGTTACTAATGCACGAAAAAGAGGTATTGCTAATGCATTGCCTCCTTATATTTCCAGGGTCTTATATCTGCTGAGCATCGTGTTTCAATGTGCCAGTTAGCTTGTAAAAGCTCAGAATTCGTTATGACGGATCCCTGGGAGGTCTCTCTCTCTCTCTCCTCCTCCTCCTCCTCTAGGACAAGAAACCCAAAAACCTCCCTTTTTGATACGAGTAATATTAGGATCCTAGATTGGTATTGTTGTTGCTGACACCTAGTTATTTGTTGTATTTTACACGACTGCCTCAGTTTGATACAAACTAAATTACCTTCATCCTATCAATTAATTTTGCTTAAAATAATTGTACAGGCAAGCCAGGATAGCTATCAACGAACATGGACAATTCTCTCCAGAATAAAGTCCGCTCTCTGCGGTCGAAGTTTGGCATCCAGTGGTAAGGTCCATAATTGACATCAGTCAGTGTGTGTTGGCAGAGTTTTCATAGGAATTTAGCTTGATGGTCAATTGGTTACAGGAGAAACTTCCGGTCCTGGTGAAACTAGCTTTTTGTTTTTATAAATAAAAAATCCTTTTCTTTACAACAACTTTGTACATACTTTTGATACTGTGTACGTGTGTATTACAACAACAACTACTACAACTAAGCTTCCGTCCCAAACAAAGTTGAGGTCCACGAAGTTAATTCAAAGTACTAAGTTGCCCAAAGAGAGAGGTCTGACTTCTCTCTAAAAAAGTTACTTTTCAACTTTTAACTTTTCTGAGATGGCATCTCCTTTTCCGGCGCCGGATTAGTCATTTTTTAACATGGGGGAAAAGGTTATCTTTAAAGTAGGAATTAAATCTTTTGAACTCACAGATATTAGCAGTGGTCATTATAGGTGGTTTCTTCTTACCGAGAGGAGTGCTCGTTTTCTCAGCAAAATTAAGATCGACGAGAATAATCTATGATGGATATGCGACAACTTATGATAGGCTTCCAGAGGTACGAAACGGGATGAAAAAAACAGAATTTATTAAATAGGGTCTATCAGAATTACAACATTTATAGGTGTTACATTTGAATCGAGAAACGGGTTGGCGATAAAAAATCAGCAGTCATAATCCCAGAGGCGGATACAACTTTGGTTGGTGCGATGTTGCTGATGAAATTACCAGATTTCTGGGGAGCTCTAACCCAGACCTTCAAAGATGCACATCACCCGAGAAATCTTACATCCAAGCTGCAAATTTACAGAAATGGTCGGGGATGGGAACCCTGAACAAACTGAAACAAATAAATTTGCAGTTCCTCTCTTGCTGCCTTGTTGGTTCCTTCAACGACTCCTTCTGTCATAACCCATCTTTGGAGGTCTTGCAAAAATGGTTCACCATTCGGTGGTCAGTGACGACTAGGCTGAGAGTTTGTTCTCTTGCTTATAATCTTTTTCTTTTTGAACTTCCGTCTTCAAAGGAGGCAGGGAAGGTCAAGTTTGGTGACTGGTTCTCGAATGGCAGACGACTTTCTGTAGATTGGTGGTTGTCGGTCTTGGATATCAAAATTTCTGCACAAATATCGGGTCACCGATGGAGTAGGGCTTTTGGTATTCCATAACACTAAGATTCATTGGCAATGAATGTCTTGGCTATATAGACTCCGATGAATGTATGAAGAAAATGAGTAATCTCCTTTGGGCTCGCATCTGCATCAAGGATTCAGGTTCGGAACCTCCTTGCAAGATCGATTTGGCTGTGGGTGATTTGGTCTTTGAAATCTCAATTATTACCTCCTTGCAAGATTGATTTCATTGTGGGTGATTTGGTCTTTTAAATCTCAATTATTCCAGACGGGCATGTCAGGATAGCCGGCAAGGGAAATGGCAGAAGGTCACACATGAGAGACCAAAGGTCGAAAGAGTTAAACGCTTTGAAATCCAGGCCAGTTGATTTAAAATTTGAATCTAATTCTCGGACTGGCCCATCTATCAACCTGGTCCATACTAAAGTCAACAACCAGGTCAATATTCCTTTACTAATGGGCCGCCACTATTACTCAAAGGAAAAGAAAGGAAAGAGGCCCAATTCTTTTATTAAAAAGAAGAAGCTAATGGAATGGAGAGTCACTAGGCTGGTCCAACCTCCCGGTTCTCAAAAGCCTCTGCTTTGCCTTTACAAAAGGGAGTTACAAATCAGATGGTACCCGATATTAGGTGCAACTCTGAATACTCTGACCAAGGAGAAGAAAATGCCGACGATGAAGCTGAGCCCATGCAATCTCTTTGTCTCACCAAATCTTTTCCTTCGTATCACTTTCTCCATGGTCAGATTTAGCGACTCAGATGTGTCTTCTCTTTCGGGTAGCGAGCTCTTGCCCTTACTATCGAGAGCTGTACGAACAAATGCTTTATTCGATTACTTTTTGCTAGCCTTAGTGGCATGAGGGGAACTCCCAAGGGAAACATTTAATCAACTCACATCAGGTTATTGAGACTTCTCATTGGACCAAGGTTGCTATGACCAAATCATGCAAGGCTCGTAGTCCATTATACAGGCTTCGAGCATGAAATTGATTGTTAGAATGGAGCATAAGAGGCAAGCCTAGAAGCTACAACAAAGGGAGGAGAAAAATGGGGAGAAGAAATCCAAGAAGAAGGGGGGAAAAGTAGCCAAGAAGTTGGTGCACCTTTACATATGAAAAGGGAGAAGGGTCTGTTAGGGGCAGGCACCATAAGACTTTCTTAGAATAAAAACGAAACTAATTAGTTGTAACATCCGTGGGCTCAATGATACAAGCAAGAGAAGTACTATAAACTTTCTTATTAAAAAATGGAAACCTGATTTATTGTGTTTACAAGAAATAAAAGCTGAAAGTTGCTCTATAGCTGTAGTTAGAGATCTTTGGGGTTTGAGATGGGTAGGATGGGCAGAATTGAAGGCTAGTGGCAGAAGTGGAGGATCATCATATGGGACAAAAGACAATGGACTTGCATTGAATCACAGCAAGGGAAATACTCTATTTCTACAATGTTGGATGGGGTACAAGTTGACTTTAGATTTTGCTTTACAGGGGTATATGGCCCTTACACTAATTGGGACAGGATTGAATTCTGGGAAGAACTGGGCGCAGTTAGAGGATTATGGAATGACAGCTGGGTAATAGGTGGAGATTTTAATGTATGCCACTTTGAGAATGAAAGACTCAATTGCATCAGGAGATCAAGGGCTATGAAGGTTTTCTCTGATTTCATTCAAGAAATGGGTCTGGTGGACCTTCCTTTTCAAGGAGCTTTTTACACATGGGCTAGGGGTGAAAACTCATTGCAGGCCACTAAAATTGATTGGTTCCTAATCTCTACTGCGTGGAATGATTCTTTTGGCTTGGTTCATCAGAGAGCTCGCCCCAAAGTAGTATCAGACCATAGTTCTGGAATGTGGTGATTGGATTGCTGAGTCTTGTGGCTTCAACATGAGGGGTTTGGTGATTTGATCAAGCAAAGGGTGGTAGGGATTTGTGGTGAATGGCTCTCCAGATTTTATTCTATCCCAAAAACTGAAGCTGTTGAAGAAGGATTTGGTTACATAGAACAAAGAGGTATTTGGAAAAGTTAGCACAAGAACACACAAAGCCCTAGAAGAATTGTTACTAATAGAGCAGGCAACTGAAGGAAGGCTGCCAACACAAGCTGAATCTAACAAGAACATGCAGTTGAAGATGGAAATAGTTAGCCTAAGCTCATTGTTGAAGTAAGGGGACATGAATACTAAATACTTTCAAAGGATTGCCAACTCTAACAGGAGATATGATTGTATTGACAGGTTACAAGTTGGAGATGATATAATTGAAGACAAGGAACAAATCAAAAGTGGGATTCTAGCCTTCTACAAGGACCTATTCTCTGAGAATCAGAGCTGGAGGCCTAATGCTACTTTTGAAGGATTGGGAAGCCTGAACTCTGATAAGAAGGAAGCTCTGGAAGCTGATTTTGAAGAGGAGGAAGTAGTAAATGCCATCAATTGCTGTGCACCTAATAAAAGCCCTAGACCTGATGGATTATCATGGCTTTTTATCAAAAATGTTGGATACTATTAGGCCGGATGTCATGGGGACTCTTAATCACTTTCACAATCACTGCCACATGGTCAAGTCCTTTAATGTCCCATTCGTTGCACTTATCCCTAAAAGGAAGGAGCAATTCAACTCAAAGATTTTAGACTTATTAGCCTCATTGGAAGTGTCTACAAGATTGTGGCTAAAGTTTTGTCAGAAAGACTCAGAAGGATGATGGGGAACAAGGATGATGGGGAATCTGATTTCAGGATTTCAAAATGCCTTTTTAAAGTGGAGACAGATCTCAGATGCTGCACTTATTGCAAATGAAGCATTAGAATGGAGACTAAGAACTGGAGTACCCGGATTGCTCTTCAAGCTTGATATAGAGAAGGCTTTCGACAAAATTAACTGGCAATATATCATTTCAATCCTAAGACAGATGGGATTTGGGGACAAATGGATCAAATGGGTCAAATTCTCAATCTTTACTGTCAAGTACTCTATCCTAGTGAATAGAAGCCATGTTGGCTTTTTCTCCCCTAAGAGAGGAATAAGACAAGGGGTTCCTTTACCTCCTTTGCCTTTTATCCTACCAATGGAGGGTTTGAGCAAAATGTTGGAGAAGGCCAAACAACTACAATGATTGGAGGGATTTGGTATTAGCAGTAGACCAGAGTTTTCCGTCTCTGTGTCCCATCTATTATATGCCGATGATACTCTCATTTTCTGTGGTGCAAAGGAGTCCCAAGTTCAATATCTCAACATCACCTTGATGATTTTTGAAGCTTTGTCTCAAAAATGTCATATACCCTGTTAATTGTGTACCTAATCTGGAGGTGTTGGCTGAGATCATGTGTTGCAATACAAGTTCATTCTCAACCACTTACCTAGACTTTCCATTGGGGGCTGGACATAGATCAACTGAGGTGTGGAGTGGGGTTATTGAAAAATTTGAAAAAAGGTTGGCTTTCTGGCAGCAACAGTATCTCTCCTTTGGTGGTAGACTAACTATTATCTGTGTGTACTGGATAGCTTACCAATCTACATTATGTCTCTATTTCCTCTACTAGTTAAAGTTCGAAAGTAGCTTGATAAATTCAGATGCTCGTTCCTATGGGAATGTAATTCCAAAGTTCACAAATTCCATCTTGTGAAATGGGATAAGGTAATACTTCCCAAATCAATTGGAGGTCTAGGAGTTAAGGATCTGGCACTACACAGTAAGAGCATGATGATGAAATGGCTTTGGAGGTATAATCAAGAAGGAATGAGTCTATGGAAGGAAGTAGTATAAGGCTACAAGCTAAGTATGGCAGTGATAGTCATTGGTGCTCCAATATGGTTAATACATCTTATGGTTATGGTCTATGGAAGGGTAACTAGAAGTTGTGGAATACCTTCTCTCTTAATACAACTCTCTGGTGGGCAGTGGGGAACACATTTTATTGTGGAAGGGTCTTTGGACTGGTCAAAGCACTCTGAAGGATGCTTACCCTAGACTATTCTCAGTTGCATCTAACTCAAACTCTACAGTAGCTCAAAACTGGGAGGCGAACACTTGGAGCCCAAGATTAATGAGAAACCTGAATGATTGGGAGATAGAGGATTTGCTAGATCTACTTGGCAGCCTTCAGACCATCAACAACCAAGGCAGAGATAGACTCAAATGAGGCAACAGTAGGGGTGGTTCCTATTAAGTCAAAGCATGCTACTACAACATTAGCACTAATAAAGCATTGATTGATCATTGGCCATGGAAAGTTATTTGGAAGTCTAAAATTCTTCAAAAGGTTAGTGCTTTCTTTGGGTAACACTATAGGGTGCTTGTTTAACTTAGAACAACCTTATCAGAAGGGGTTTCTAACTTGCCAACAGATGCCATATGTGCCCTAGCAAATATGTGGTCTATGTTTACATCACTTTGGTCTACATTGGACTATGCCGCGCAATGTCAGGGATGCCTTTGTGAGCTGGAGCTCATGGAAAGCTGAGAAGTCCATCAAGAGAATCTGGTCTATGGTTCCTACTGCTATTTTGTGGTGCATATGGACAAAAAAAATCAAGATGCTTTGATGGCATTTCAACTGTCAGACACAAACTCAAGGCTAGATATTTGGTTTTACTTTTTTGCTGGGTGAATCATAACCCTGACCTTTTCTTGGACTTTATCAGCTCTATAGTATTGTAATAGGTTTTTGTCTTTCCTTGGGCTGATATCTCCTTTTCTTTTGTAATCATTGCATGTTCTGGATGCCTTTTTATTAATACACAACTTCGTAAAGAAAAAAAAAATTGGGGTCCACGATATCAATCCTCACTTATTTACTAAAGAATATTTATCTACTCCCTTCCCAACCTCCAACCCGACCCCAATAAAAGGAAAAGAAGAGAAAATATTACTTCACTCCTCTACTCAGAAAATTTTGGTTTATGAGGGCCATTTGTGTAAACTTACAGAAAGTGGTAGAACTCATTGTTGACACCCATCTTATCCAGCATACAACATGTAAATTTCCTATATGTGGTGTCAAATCGTTAAACTCTAACAATTGTTTTACAATTTCTTAGCACTCTGCCTTTACTTAGAAGAGGATGCTTCAGTTGCATCTCATATTTGCAGATATTCCTTGTCCACCAACTGGCGGGCTTTCATCTTCATGTTGCTCGCAATTCGCCTTGGATGATTTTGGTAGTTGGTTCAAGGGATGGAGTAAATACTATTGTAGTAGTAAGTTAGCTGGCAATAGTGCTCCGGACATAGGGATGGCGACATGGTTATTATATTTATTTTGTTTTTTTACTAGGTTATAGTTGAAGAGAAGTTAAACAATACTATTTTCCCAACCAAACAAATATTTAAAAAATGAAGAATAAAACTGAATCAAACTAGAACAAAAAGAATGCGCTTTAGGTATTGAAGCCTTACTTTATCTTTGTCTGAGCATTTGTGGAGGTAGCTTTGCTGTGAAAATATGTGTACTTTCTATGCTTCAAATCAAATGTCATATTCTCCATTCGGTTCTACCAATTTGATGTTCACTTTGTAGAATTTATATTTTATCACTTATTGTATATAATGGCAAGTCCTAGTTACTCCTAGCAACCATAGTCCATCACCTAACTTTTTGTCCCACATTCCCACTTATCATAAATCAATGGACATGCTAGTTACTACCTAATAAACAATTACTTATTCATTGTGCAACCATAAGAAACCATGCAAAAATGAAAATGCCATTCTATCTGTAAGGCAGGGAATACACTACAAGAAAAACTGCCTTTAAGGAAGGGAAATCTGGTCCCTAAAAACTGAAATCTGGTCCTAAAAGGGTAAATTGCGAAGGGAAAAGGCTGGTCGTAACCCGTCGTAATAGCCTCCGTCGCTAAATGTCAATAACGACGGGTCCTGATACCTGGTCGTTAAATCGCTTTAGAGACGGACAGAAAAACCAGTCGCGGAATACTTTTAGAGACCACATTTCTCGTCCCTAGTAGGCGATGAAAAAATATTTATTCCCGTCGTGAAATCTTTTTAGCGACTAACTGTATCTGGTCCTAAATTGTCTTTTAGAGACGGCCAGAAAACCTGGTCGTGAATAAAATTTAGAGACTACATTTCTCGTCCCTAATAGATGATAAAAAAAATATATATTCCCTTCGTTAAATCTTTTAGCGACAAACGCCAATTGGTCCTAAATTATCTCTTAGAGACCGACAAAACATCTGGTCGTTAAACCATTTTCGCGACCAACCTTTAACTGTTCCTAGATTATGTTTAGAGACGACATCCCATTTAAAATAATTTTGTTATATAGCGATCATATTCATGGTCTATTAATAACCATGAGTAGTCCTAAAAGCTCAATGTAACAAAAAGTAATTTTTATCAATAAATATCAAATTGGTATTGAAAAATCCAGATATAAAAAGATAATATATCAAGTTCAAATCCCACGATGATGTTACTTTCTATGTTTTCTCAACACCTCAACGAAAAAAACTTAGCTAACATCCTGAGCTAGACTATGATATCAAAGTTTTGCATAACATTTTTAGCAAAATAATAATAGCTTGTGCATCTTCTAAACTTGCATCTTGACTTGTAGCCTCAATCTTCAACACCTGTAAGTACAAAAGTTTTTAAAATAATAAATAACTATTGGTAAAATAACATATAAAATTTTATATGAGCAATAGTTAAATCGCTTACCCCAAAAACAGTCTAAATTCACAAGGTGTTATCCAGCAACATCAACAAGGCTACAACTGTCACGACCCTAGTTCACCGACTGTGAACATGTCATGACGGCACCTAGTCCCCACGAACAGGTAAGCCTAATATTGCGGAAAATATAATAATTGCGGAAAAATAGAGGAAACCAAATTAAATACTAAAAGAAACTGTACTGAATGCCGCTCGGCATGTACAACTCAATATCACAAGTTCAAAATTATCCCCAAAACCCGGAAACTCACGGGCAACACAGGCTACAGAAGCGAAAAATAAAGGCTCCAAACTCCAGAATATCTAACAACCGGAAGAAGAAAAACTAAGTACTAGAGATAGAGTAAGAGGGAGACTCGTCGGTCTGCGGACGCAGCAGATCTACCTCGAAATCTCCGTAGTCCTCCTGCCTCACTGATAGTGCGCCTGAGTAGAGGTACCTGGATGATCTGCACATGAAAAACATGCGCAGGAAGGGCATGAGTACACCACAGCGGTACTCAGTAAGTGCCAAGCCTAACCTCGGTTGGGTAGTGACGAGGAAGGTCAGGGCCATACTGAGACAAAATATAGTAATAACAATAATTAATAGTATGATAATCTGACATAAATAATAAATACACCAGTGAAATAAGGCAGGTCAATGAGACAATAACAACCACAAAAGGACAGAGCAAACACAGAGTAAATACAACTCAATACCAATGATAACAATGAGGGTCTCCCAGGATACCATCCTGTAGCCCTTTCCTCAACTGTCCAGTGGATCTCCCGAGATACCGTCCCGTAGTCCAACTCATATACCAAACCGAAGGATCTTCCGGGATACCGTCCCGTAGTCCAACCATCAAAATGTAGGGGGATCTATCGGGAATCTAACCCGCAGTCCCAAAGTAGAAGTGCAGGGGGATCTACCGGGAATTGAACCCGTAGTCCCAAAGTAAACAAACAGGGGGGGGGAGCCACCGGAATCCCACATCCGTAGTCCCAATGTAAATGCGCAACCACAGTCAGAAACAAACCAAGGAATAAAGTACGAAAGACAGAGCAAAAGATAGAATTAGCCTAGCATGCTTCACGTAGTACAGTCAAACAACTTAAGCAATTAGGCAGTTAAATCAGCTAAACATGCTTTCCAAATCTACCACAAGTATAATTTCAAGTAGGATAAGGCAAGTAGGAAAGAAAGCTAAATATCAATAACTTAAGTGAAAATCGGATTTTCATCAATCGGCTCAAGTACGCGCTCGTCACCTCACGTACAAGGCACTCAAATATCAAGAAACAATCCTAAGGGGAAAAGTCCCCCACACAAAATTAGACAAGCCACATACCTCGAACCGGCTCGATATCAACAGAAACCACGCCTTTTCCACGAGTATCCGACTCCAAATGGCCCAAATCTATTCAATTCAATT